TTCGTCGTCCCCCCCCAACCTGGAGGGGGCTGTGGGGCGGGAGGTGCCGGGGCCCAGGCTCACCTCAGCGGCGCCCGTCTGTGACACCCCCCGCGCCGACGCTCTCTTGAAAAGTCATTTTCTTAGACGTTCCCCCCGCCCCTCTCACCGAGAAGGAGCCTCGGCCTCCTCCCTGCCCTCTGAAATACTGTGTTCTTGCTTTTCCCTCAGGTTTAGTGTGAGAGGGGGCGAGGAGGGGGCGCAGCGGAGAGGAAAGGTAAGGCCTCCAGGCGCCGGGCATCCCTGAAGGTGTGACACACGCACACACACACCCCCTCCCCAGCAGCATGTCCGGCCCGGTTTGCTTTCCAGAAACGCTCTCAGAAAGCCAACCTTGCATGCAGAAATACCTGACTGAGGGCCCTCCCGCAGCCTTGTCTGCTGGGTCTTAAATCAGGTAGACAGCCTGTGTCTGAATGCATTGGCCTGGCTCCCGTGTGAGCTTGTTGGGATACACACCTCTTCCAGGCTTTGCTGTGTCACTCCCTTTCCTTTCTTATGAAGTTAGTGGGAGTCCAAAGCACGTGGAGAATCACAGCATTAAATAAAAACCTCTGCTGTATTTTAACTTGTGTCTGAGCAGGCTGAATCTTGCGTTTCTAACGGCGGCGCAAACGGAAGCAGGGTGTGTTTTCCTGGCACTGCCAGTCCCCGCTATTCCTGAATCCTGTTCCTTTCTAGGATGGTTTTGACAAGCTGTGCGGGCCTGCTCCAATTTTGACTCCCACGTGGAGGGACAGAGCTTGGGAATTGGCCAGGGATGACTCATTAATATCCTTTCAGATTCTTCAATCTGAAACATGGCAGGTTTTAAACTATAACATGACGTTTTGTCTTATCCCAACATCTTAAAGCCACTTAATTTTTAAAAGGAGATCTGAATTACGCCCTCACTGGTGGTAGTTCTTCCAACCACTCAAAGAAGCTAAAAATAATTGATGAGCAATAAATTTGTGCTTGCTTCTTTATATAATTTGAGGGGGCTGTGCCAGAGGAGCCCCTCTTCCAGCACTGAGCTGGACGCATGTGGTTTTTACTTTGCTTAAATTTTGCGTTCAGGTCTAGTATGCAGGTGTGGTTTTACTTGTGCATTAGCTGCTGAGCTGGGAGACAGTGAGAGAGCGTCCGCAGTGACTTCCCCATCTCCTTTGGGGATGAGTCGGTGGAGAAAACATCTCATTAATTTTCCACGGTGGTTCTGCAGGTCGGGGTCTGACGTTGACTGAGCGGTGTAGTCGTGTTTCGCAGCGTTACGGCAAGGTTTTTGTAAATACACTCTCTGTGTGAGCGTCAGCATTGCTTTAATATATGCATTGTTTAGGTGCTTGGTTTTAGCGGGGATATATCTTTGTATTTTGGGTGTTTTTGCAGCTGGATGTGTCTTCTTTATATTACATATGGAGTTGTCATGATTAGGTTTATTCAGCGTTGGCAACTTGAGCATCGTTTAAAGGCAATAGTCCCTTGTTGAAATCTCTGCCTCAAAGGCTTTAGGATAAATTAAGTGATTTCTTCAGTGTGGAGGAGAAAGGAGAACGCCACAAATCTATGCAGGAAGCATAGTGCCAATAATAAAGGTGATGAGAGACCACACTGTGACAGAACAGGGCAGCCAAGCCAGAAACCTGCGGAGCTTGATGTTTACTCTCTCTCCAACTCCTTATAGTCTAAATAGCTGGAAAGTTCCAAGTATCTCGAGGAGGAAGATGGGAGAGACATTTATTATCTTGTAAGTGCCCGTTGTTCCCTCTCCTTCATGGCATCTGCAGCGGTGGTGTGGCTAGGGTCCCCTTGGTGGTTTTTTTCCCTGCAGGGGTGGTGCCATGTTTTGAGGTAATGCTATTTAATTTTGGTGACCCTGACTGTGCCGGCTTGTTCTGTCCCCCTGGAGAGCAGAGATTCTCCCCAGGCCTAAAATCTGGAGGTTTGTTTCTTGACTGAATCTCTGAGACTTGTTCTTAACAAATAACTTTTTTTGGGTCAAGCAAAGCCTAGACATTATTGGGTTTGTTCCTTTGTGGCTACCTGCATTAAACAGAAATGAAGATTGAAATTTGTGATACTAGACAACCATCTTTTGGTAACAATAATTATAAAAGGTGTTTTTTCCTAAGTTCAGAATGACTTTTGAAATGCCCTTCATGGTTTAAAGTCACCTAAAAATCAGATTGATGTCTCCATTTCTGCTATTTAAAGTAACACGAATGTGTAGGATGAGGTAAACAGGAGCAGTGCTCAGGCAAGTGAACAAGCTAAACAGGGGAAGGCCTAAGTAGGAGTTTATAAACAGGCTTGATATTTGAGACTTAGCAAGTAATTTGCAACCTAAAGCTAATATAAACTTAAATTAGATCTGTAAATGAAGCCGGTGGAGAAAGTGGGGAAGGTTTTACCTTTGGCTGGTAGGTGTGCTGCCTCAGAGGGAGTTGAGGGCAGACCTGGGAGCAGTGGCAGCTCAGCGTGTTGCTTTACACAAACTTCCTTCTTCGATATTCCAGTTAACAAAGGCTACATGCTTTAGTCCCTAGCTCGCCTGGAGTGCCTTTGCACCATTAATTGAGATTTGGTTGGCTTTCTGGAAGCAGTCTGCTCTTCCAGAAGAATCAGCTAATCCGAAAGGAGAGATCTTACACTACTGGAAAGGAAAAAAAGGGATTTTTTTTTTTCCCCTTGATGATTTCCATCCTGACTGTGCTTGGCTGTGTTCCCTCAAGGCGAGTGTGATGTTACCGCCTGACTGATCATGTGTCCGGCACGTCCTCCTGCCTCCCCGAGAGTCACCGCTTTGGAGTGGGTGGTTTTTCTGCTGGTTTAACTCCCCAGAACTGTTCACCCCGTGGCGTGATGGTTGCAGGCGTTCGGCAGGGAGTGGGGAGGGCATGAAGCTGCAGAGGTTTGTTGTCAGAATAACATCGAAGTGCTCGACGGCGGATTGGACAAACGGGGTACAACGTTCCAGAAGGTGTGTGGTGCAGGAGGTTCAGCATTGCACCGAGGGTGTAAAACCAGGAGGTGCAAGCAGTTGGCTGGAGCCTGGTTCCTCGCTTCCTAAATGCGTTTGAAACTTTTGTCTGAGTTGGGGCTCTACAGTAAAATAAATCTGATTATTTGAGGTAGTGGGGAGCATATGCTAAGCAGTGTTTCAGGAGGCAGGTTGTGAAGACCAGCTCTTGAGGTGTTACAATATTATCATATTAGTGTTATAATGATATGTTATTATTTTAATAATAATTCTAAAGTTTTCAGGAGTGGTCAGAAATGAAAGGCTGGCAAGCCCACTGTACCTGAGTGTCTGCGAGAGTTGGTGTGCCCTGTTTTCATCACCCAGCATGGGGAAAGATGACAGTTATCTAGATTATTGGGACAATAAATGATCCCTGACAACATTTGTACCACAACCTGTAAGAGTTGTCCTGTGGATCCTCTGTCAGTGCTGCTGCTTTGCTGCAGTGAAGCAGTCGCAGGTATCTCATTTGTAAAACAAACGCTCAGAGCTCACTGAGGCTGTGAAACCTGTGAAAAAAACTGTGATTTTGGGCCAGCAGCTCTTGCACAGTGTTTCCTTTTGGAAAAGCCTGCCAGAATTTTTGCTGGACTCTTCATTACAATTGGCAAGAAAAAAATGGATAAGGGTGAGCAGTTCTGTCTGCTTTCTTTCCCTTTTAATAGTCTGATTTTGGAGAAGCAGAGAGGGGGAGAGGACAGTGTGCTGGCAGACCTTTTGTATTCTATATCTCAGGCTGTTGAAAGAGTTCGCAGACATAAAACTTCATTTCCACAGACTTCAAGGTCATATCCCCCTGCCTGTAGTCGTATGGCAGGCTGGATAAGCCTTCTGTCATCACCAGAGAATTCAGTGCTCTCAGTGGCTTTTTGTAGAACAAAAAACTTCTTGTCTTTCTTCCCTCCCGCTGTTTCCCAAGCAGCAGGTTTGCTAACAGGCATTGCCTTGGAAGCGGGGAGCTCCCAGATAATGGGCTCTCGGGCAAAGATGAACAGCCGAGAGGAAACGAAGGGACTGGCAAGCAGGGGTCTGCCAGTGGCGACCACAACCCGGTTTTCCAAAACAGCCCTAGGATTTTATCGAGCTTCGTTGTAAAGGAAGTTAAGGAGGTGGATGAGAGCCGTGGGGCAAAGTACAGAAACAAAAAGTGCAATTCTCAGCCCGAAGGTGATCTCATAAAGATAACAAACCCCAGTATTTATCTGCCTGTGAAAAGCTGCCTCGACAAAAGCCTGTGGTCTGTTCCACGTCGTGTTGCGTACATGTAGTGACTTTGCTTGTGGTGATTTGTCTACTATAGAAACTGGATGGCTTCTACCGTGAGCCTGGGTAAAGAAACATTGTTGGAAGATGGAATACCACCTGCAAAAAAGCCCAGGTAAATTTAATTCTACTCCAGTGAATGTCTTCTAATAAGAGCTTTTTCTGTAACCTTGCATTGTTCTTTAAAGAGCATGGCACTCGGCGTCAAGTCCCAGCCGTCGTTTTGGTTGCTGATCCAAGAAAGGCGCAGGGTCTCTAGTTGTGTGTTCCTGCTGTGCGTGGAACAAAGGCCTTAAGACTGTACTTTGCTGCTGGGTTTTTTTTAACCCCTAAGCCAGGTTGCACGGAAAGCTGGTTTTTACTGTGCTGTCTCCATGGCTTTAGCTCAGATCCTGTCTACACGTAGGGCCACGTCAGATGTGGTGGGCATGCTCCTTCGCTTGAGTTGGACAGCAGTTCCCAGGAGGACAGGCAATTACTCAAATCCCTGTGATTTTGCTGCATGTAAATTCTGCTCTGGAGGCTCCCCATACTAATAAGTAGGTTGTCTTGCAGTTCTCCAAGCAGGGACGTGAGCATGATGCTACCTTGGGGCATACCCACCCTTCTGTCCATCCTGCATTGGGACTGTGACTGCTGCAACAGCACGGGCTCAGAAATTAAGGCATTGCTGTCTGCAAACGAGCAGCTAATTCATCTAGGGAGTTGTCTTCAGCTGATCTGATTTATTAGAGTTATGAAGGGGTGGAGAATAGTTTCTGTGAGGGAACTGTGGTCTCAAGGTTGACCTAGTGACTGTGGGATGAGCAGAAAAGAGGTTGGGACATTATTGTTTCCTTGCTCTGGGTTATCAGGGTAGAAATGCGTTTATCGGTGTGGGAACAGAGTGCCTCTTTCAGAGATGTCACGCAGGATGTTAAGACTAACATTTGTTATTATTTTGGATTTCAGTCCCTAGGTTGTGTTTTTATATTAGTAGCTCATTAGCATGAATATTAATTTATTCTTTGTGGGTGAGGTTTGCGGTCCCAAAATTAAAACCTGTTTATCTCCTCTAACGGAAAAGACCTCCTCAAGAAAAGGGTTAACTCATATGTTTTCATAGGCAGTAATAGAGGGAAGGCGAAGCTCCATCTGTGTGGTATCGGTTTCCTTTCCCCTCCTTGCAAAATATCACGTGTTTGCAGATAAAAAACATTCCTTCCAAATGAGCTGCCTCCCCGGGCAGCTGCTTCCATCCTCTGGGAAGCCACAGCTGGTCTCCTGCTTCAGAAAAGCAGCTTGACACCAGGCAAGGCATGATGAGGAGAAGCCCATCTACTTAATAAATAATAAACATCAAATTTAAAAGCACTGTGTGGGTAGAAAGCTAGGAGATAAGGAAGAGGGGAGGAGGAGGACGGAGAATACAGCCATGCAGCTCTTCTCTGAGACTCTTCATGTCACCTGGGCTTCCAAAAGGTTGGCCTCAAGCATCCTGCTCATGTTGCAGGTGTAACAGGGAAGGGATTTCTGGTACAACGTCCCACTGAGGGGGCTTCTCCACAAAGAGGGGCTGGCAGGTGGGAAGGTCCTCTCCAGGGCAGAGATGGGAGGAAGCCTCCGCTTCCTTCCTTTTGTGCCAGGCTACATGGGGCTGCTGCCTTCAGGCCCCCAGTTGGCACCTTATTTAAACCTGGAGCAGTCACGGTTGTGTTTAGTCCCTGCGCGGGGGCCTGACGCGTGCTTTGTCTCAGGACATGTAGAGCGTGTATGTGTCTGCAGCCACGATAACGTATTCCATATGGTTCACCGCACCATATCCACTGTCTCCAGCCTTTCTGCTAGCTTGCAGTTAACTATTATTAACAAGACCTCCCTTATTCCAAACTTTAATTTAATTAGTTTTGCTTCAGAAGTATTCCTGGGCGGTATTGACTTCCCCAGTAACCGACTGGGTAACAGACTTGATTGCCAAATGCATTGTAATTATGTATGTTGTAATTGTGGTCATTTGTGATGTTGCTCCGTGGAGCTGTGTGCTGTCTTTAAGGGGTGCTGAGCTGCTCTGCTCATCCTCTGTCAGAGGACCCCGATGGACAAGTTGACTCAAAATTTAGGCAGAAGATACCTCCCTTGTCCTCCATCTGCATGTTCCACAGCCTGAGACATCCTTCCATCTATGACGGTACCAGCTGTGCTACTTTCTGCTCTTGCAGGAAGCTGTTGCCAAGCCTCAAAACCAAGAAGCCTCAGGAACTTGTTCTGGTGATTGGGACAGGAATCAGCGCAGCAGTTGCTCCCCAGGTCCCAGCGCTGAAGTCATGGAAAGGGTTAATCCAGGCCCTCCTGGATGCTGCTATTGACTTTGATCTCCTGGAAGATGAAGAGAGCAAACGGTTTCAAAAGTGTCTCCATGAAGACAAGAACTTGGTTCACCTTGCCCATGACCTTATCCAGAAGCTGTCTCCGGTGAGTCTGCCAAGCCAACAGCATCTTGTCTTGTATCAGCAATAGTGTGGCCAGCAGGAGCAGGGAGGTGACAGTCCCCCTGTGCTCTGCACTGGTGAGGCCACACCTGGAGGGTTGTGTCCAGGTTCGGGCACCTCAATCTGAGAGAGATCTCGAGGGGCTGGAGCGAGGGCAGAGGAGGGCAACGAGGCTGGGGAAGAGCCTGGAGAATAAATCCTGTGAGGAGCCAGGGAAGGAGCTGGGAGTGTTCAGTGTGAGGAGGAGGAGGCTGAGGGGAGCCCTCATCCCTCTCTGCAGCTCCTGACAGGACATTGCAGAGAGGCTGGGGCTGGGCTCTGCTCCCAGGGGTCAGGGACAGGACAAGAGGGAACGGCTGGAAACTGCCCCAGGGGAGGGTCAGGATGGGCAGGAGGAGAAAATGTTTCCCAGACAGAGTGGTCAGAGAGTGGAACAGGCTGCCCAGGGAGGGGGAAGTCCCCATCCCTGGGGGGGTTTAAGGGCCGTTGGGATGAGCTGTGGGGGATGTGGGGTAGGGGAGAACTTGTAGAGTGGGGCTGAGGGTTGGACTGGGTGATCCCAAGGGTCTTTTCCAACCTGAGTGATCCTGTGATTCTGCTTGCATCGCTGCACAGAAATATTCGAGACCCCACCCTGAGTGTAGGGTTTGGCTTTTGGAAGTAGCTAAATTTGGTTCTCCAGGGTGCCCCCATCTCCCAACAATTCCTCTTTCCACGAGGAACCCCTGGTACAGTTACTGTGCTGGGTTCCTGAGGCATAATTCTGCTGTAAACACCAGCTTTTGGGCATCTCCGGGGTATGCTGGGGGGGAGGACAGTAAGTGCTCTGTGTTTGTCTTGCAAGGCCCTAAGAACTTTGCACAGGTCTTGGAGAAACCTGTGGGTAGTTTTTCATCGCGTTGTTTGACACAAAGCATTAAAAGAAGCCCAGCTCTGATCTTAATCTGTCACCCCTTCTCAGCGCACAAGCAACGTTCGCTCAACGTTTTTCAAAGACTGTTTATACGAGGTGTTTGATGACTTGGAATCTAAAATGGAAGATTCTGGGAAGCAGCTGCTTCAGTCTGTGCTTCACTTAATGGAAAATGGGGCGCTTGTGTTAACCACAAACTTTGATAACCTGCTGGAACTGTATGCAGCACACCAGGGGAAGCATCTGGAGTCTCTTGACCTGACTGATGAAAAGAAGGTAAACACTGATGATTTTTTGTTTTTCTCAGGGCTGAGCTGGGACAACGCAGGACAGTGGTGGCTGCAGGATGTGCCCTCACACCTGTGTAAGGGGGTTGTACTGTTCGTAGTAATTTAAACGGTGTTAGACAAACTCCAAGCAGAGGCTCTGACCATTTGGGGCAGCGAGCAGAGGAATGAAGACAAGTGCTCGTTTCTGAGACGCTGTGCTTGCTGCCTGACGTCCGTTGCTCAGGAGGAGCCCTTAAGCCTGGTATTTCTTTGATCTCTCTCCTTCTGGCTTCAACTTCTGGCTTGGCCTCACTGAAGTACCGCAAGCCTTGCTTCCACATAAGGCTTGGATTGCCATTTCTAACCAACATGGGAAGCTCCACGCGAGACACAAAGCTGACCTTTCTATTTTTAGAATGTGCTGCAGAGCACTTTTTGTGACAGAGCGTTTTTGGGGCCGTAGCCTTCAAGGCTTCCCTCCTGCCTCGTGTCCTTTTTCTGAAATGGCTGGATGGCTCCTGCTGGGTTGCTCTCTGTATTCTGGCTTCTTCTGCCCTGCTCTTGTCTGTGGCCGCTCGCTGCATGCAAGCTTCCCTCCTTTTGCCCCACTTCTTCAGTCAGGGAGAAAAACGGACTGTGAAACCCTGAGCTCTTCACCACCTACCCACCTCATCTTCCCGTTGTGGGTTTTACTGCTTGGGAGCATCTTGTCCTTCTGTTTGCTTGTTAAACAAACGCCATGTGTAGGTGCTGTGCAGTACTTGGTCTCTTCATGCTGACTCATTTCTGTGCTTCACATTTCCTGCATGACCTCTTAATCTACATGGCTGGAAGTACTTACAGTGTTACAAATAAGCAGTCTAATTATTGCAAGCTTAAATGAGCTAAGGTCTGCAGGAGTAAACAGAGAGCCTTAGAAGTGGCTTTCTGAAATGAAGGTCAGCTGTTGAGCTCCCTCAGAGCTTCCCAGAGCCTAGAGGGGCCAAGAAATAAAACTTTGTGGGCTTGAGAAACACACAATATTTATAGAGCTTTTCCCCTTTTTCTGCCAAGTCCGTTGTATTGATTCGGTCTCTTCCCGTCACGTTCACCATTCAGCTGAAGCGTTGGCCCAAACAAGCGCCGTGGGCTGTGATGTAGAGGCCGATGGACTCATGACCTCTTGAGGAGATGAGAAAGAAGCCGCCTCTTTGAACCGCTTCCCCAAAATGGTATTTTTTGACAGCCCCGTGGAAGGAAGCACAAATGATGCACTCGATAACATTTCTGGAGGGGTTTGTTTTGCGCAGGTGCTGGAGTGGGCACAAGAGAAGAGGAAGCTTAGTGTCCTGCATATCCACGGCGTTTACACCAACCCCAGCGGCATAGTGCTCCACCCGGCCGGGTACCAGAATGTGCTGCGCAACACGGAGGTCATGGTGAGGCAGTCCTGCCTTCTCTCTGTGGGGTGTACAGTGGGGTCCCCCACGTTGTGTCTGTGTGTCTCCCACTTCCCTGGCAAGCCCCTACATTAACCGTAGGCTCGGCTGAGTTTAAAGACTGAATTTAAAAGATGTAAGCCATAGGCTCAGCTGAGTTTAGAGACTGAGCTTCACGCAGGGTGGTGGGACAGTCCTTAATTTTTGTGGAATAGAAGAGGAGGGATGGATTCTCCAGCCCGACTTGTGGTGAGGATGACTGCACATTGGCACTCCTGCAGAGCCTCATCAGGCAGATGCTGTCTCTTGTGCCTTGTGAAGATAAAGTTTGCTTTGACTAAGAACATCTTTCCCTTTTTTAAAGCGAGAGATTCAGAAGCTGTATGAAAATAAGTCATTCCTGTTCTTGGGCTGTGGTTGGACTGTTGATGACACCACGTTTCAGGCCCTGTTTTTAGAGGCTGTGAAGCACAAGTCAGACCTGGAGCACTTCATGCTCGTACGGAGGGGAGACGTGGACGAGTTCAAGAAGCTCCGTGAGAACATGCTGGACAAAGGGATTAAAGTGATTTCCTACGGAGATGAATACACAGACTTGCCCGAGTACTTTGAGAGGCTGACAAGCGAGATTGCCACGCGGGGCCGAGCAGGTACAGGGGTCAGGGGCTGTGCGGGGTGGCTGCCTGCGTGCATCCACCATCTCAGGGATCCTGTCACACACAACATGGTTCTTGACTGTCACTGTGCCCTTTGGAGCATAGGCAGCATTAATAGCCCCTCTTTATGCTGTATTATTCCTTAAGCTTTTTTTTCCTTCAAAAAAAAATCACCAGCATAGCTGAATTTGGGGTTTACTTTTACAAAATCACTGTATGCTCTTACAGTTTAAACAGCTCTGCTGCTTCCCACACATCCAAACGTTATTTTTAACATGCAGCTGCAGTTATTCCCTTTCTAGCGAAACGGTGTTTCAGTCTCGCTGACCATTGTGCTACTCAGCTTGAGCTAACGCTTTAACTGAGAGATCTCGCTCGTAAATCACAAAAAATGGGGGAAAGAATTGAGTTTGCTAGCCAGAGCCTTGCTGGCACATGTCAAACCCAGCCAGGAAGGCCTGACTTGCGTGAAAGTGCCGCACACAGGCCAGAGGCAGCGTGCTGAGCACAGCGCTGAGTGCTGGCAGGGGCTCTCCTCAGGGCCACCTCTCCACCAGGCTGCTGCTCTCTGCTCTCTCCTAGGTGTGCCTAAGGAGGGACAACACTTCAATGGCTCCGCTGCTGCCCGCCCCGAGATAAAAGGTAAGATTCTCCCGAGCTAAGCGAGCTTTGCCTCTTTCTCGCCCCTCTCAGCAATCTCTCAGGAGGGTTTTACTTTCCTGCAGGATGCAGCACTTGAGCATCAGCCTGAGCCCAGAACCTGTGCCACAGCGTGGGACTCCCTAGGACAGGCCTAGGCCTGAGCTGGCAGCTCTCAGGGAGGCCTGCGTGGTTTAAGGCCAGCCTAAGGGAGGAGGGAAGCCCACTGGTGTCGAGCTGCTGCCCACATGCATGGAGCCGAGACGCTTTGGGCAGGAAACAGGCCGGGGCAGAGCCTGATGCCTGGGTTAACATAGTAATTGTCTTTCTATCAAGGTTGCGCACGCCTGGGGAGTGTGGGCTCCCCGAGGGAGCTGCAGCCTCCTCTAATTTCATACTTAGTGCTTTTGTATTCTGTACTTCCAATTAAAAACATGAAACTTGAGCTTTTTTTTTTACTTGAAGCTCTAGTTTTTTAGTCCTGTCTTTATACTGTACAGTATTTTGTATGTTGAAGCTCATATTAAAGGCCTGTTCACTCAACTTTTGGCTGGTGTGTGACTTACATGCCCTCTCAAAAGGACTTTGTCTCCCCAGCTTGAGAAGGAAATATGTCCTGGCTGAAGGCAAGTTATTTATACACGGAGAACAAATTATGAAGTTTATTTTATATAAATTATGTCTCTTAGCAGACAGCATTCAATTTATTGCACTATAGCACATCTGCGATACAGAGCTACAAGACATCATAAGAGAGTTTTGTATTATTCAGTGTAGCACTTCAGACCGGGATCAAGAGGCACTCAAAGGGGGGAAGAAAGGGTGCAGGAAAGCAGCAAGCAGCCACCATTATCTTCCAGTATTTTTTTTTCCTTTTTACTAACAAATAATGCTGCGGCCAGCGGGCAGGAGAGGTAGGGGGACGCTGCCTTCCTTCTCCGGCCACGATGAGCGCTACCTGGCTGACGCAGGTCTCCCACCTCCTGCCCCAAAACAGGGGTCCAGGTACCCTGCTCCAGAGTCCTTGGTGACAACAGAAACAGGGACCTTTAAGGCAATTTAGCATCTTCCCTCCAGCCCAGTGCAGGCCGTCACCATTTTTGGTTTATCAGCTTGGGTAGAGCTGCCAATAGCAGCGATGTTAACAGCCAGATTTTCTACTGCAGCACCGATACTGCTCACGCCTGGCAAGTCACCCCTGCATCCTCCCTAAGCTGGTCTAAAAATCAAAAGCAGCTCAAAACAAAAACACCTTCAAACCCCCCAAAAAGCACAGCAGGTCCTTGTGCTGCCCAACCCCCCCCTCCCCCCCCC